GACTGGGCGGCTCGATGGCTGCCCCGTGTTTGCTTTTTGCGGTGCGTTCTCTGTCAAAACGGATTTTGACAGAAGCAGGAACTATGAAGCTGAAATTACTGGTTCTAAATGCGGGCACGCACACGCGCGTGAGAATTGTCTCGAGGAAACGCTTCCCAGAGCGCGCTGGCCTTTCTTAGTGTAGGAGATTTCGCTGATGGAGTTGATGCTTTTCGGTATTGTCTGTGAACTTCTGGGCCTTGAGTGAACATCTGTGGAAAAACTGGCCTCCAGCTCCCAAACGACAGAGCTCCCATCGCGTGGTCCTGGAGGGTTGGGGACTCAGTGTAGTGAATCTGAAGGGAGATGAAGCAGTAAAACCGCGCGAGTTCTGTGTCGTATGAGGAAATGGCTATAGTGTTTAGAGTTACCCTCAGAGGCAGAGATTGCCTGTGCAGTGTTAAGGATGTAGGTGTTCAGATGGAAATGTAGTAGTGTTCTGTTCTGTGGGTGTGCAGATGGATAACTATTCTGTGTTTTAGATGAGGTTTATAGGGATGGGTAATCTGTTACAAGAGCAGCCAGCTTGGGCATTTACTTCCTTCTTCAGCAATGAGTTTGATGTTCGCGTCCAGGTAGCTCTCAAATTTAAACTTAGGTTGCAGTTTTCATGGGTACTGTGATTTATAGTTGCTTGTGCATGTATCCTGCTCCGTGACTTAAACACTGTATCATCTCAGGCTGAAATAGGAAGCAGATCTGATGGATTGAGCTTATTCACTTGGGGTCTGTTGAGAGCTGGCAAGCTGTTAAAGTACAGGTGAAGAATTAGGATGATCCTTGTGAAAACAAATGTAAAACTTTACACAAGTGAAGTGAGGCCGTGTCTGCCCAGCCCTTTGGAGGTCTCCAATACTGACGTTGCTGCATAGTGATAATGAAGTGAAGGCCAGGGCTTTCCTTCTCACTGTGAATCCTCGGCGATTAACATGTTGCTGTTCTTCAGATGAAAGGTAAAAATGAGAGCTTGAAGGTTGTGCTCTTTGAAGAGGCTGTGTCAGTCTGTGAGTCTTGTAGATCAGGGAATGTGTCCCTTGCTCTCATGCTTCCCTAAAGCAGTCCCACAGAAGCAACTGTTTCAAAATAGGTTGTCACTATAGTATAGATCTGGGTTAAGAAGATCCCACTGGATCTAAAGATTTCACTTTAGAAATAATTCAGATTGCTCAAGGATCCTTTCTGCTTTTCTAGAAGATACAGTCAAGTAAGATTCAGCATCAGATTAAAAAAAAAAAAAGTCTGTACGAGGTGGTTAATATTGGATAAGCAGCACTCCTGGTTTTAGGACTTGTTTGCTAGATGCTTTTCACTGGATACAGCACATTGTCCACCTTAAGTTGTGGCAGGTAATGTGTGTTCCCTCTCCTTGACATAACTGCTGCTTGCAGGGATTTCTTCTGTCTTGCTCCTGTTATGTGGTGTTCTGATGCTCAGAAGTATTAGTGATCCTGTGTCAGTGAGAGGGCTTTCCCAAATCTTCAAAATTTTGAAAGGAGTTTGTTTATGTGGAGGAAGTTTCTGCCTTGTAGAAACTCTGGTAATTTTTCTTGTCACTACATCTAGTGACAGTTTATCAAAGCCTAAGACAGAAAACGGGTGAAGAATAACAGTGCTAATCAGTGATGAACCTGGTAATAAGAAATTGATTTTGAGGTATTGGACATTGTCCTCTGGTATAAGGTAGCCATTTGTCTTTTTCCAGAGTGGGGAGGGGGGAGAGTATTTTATACAAAAATTACTTATGACTAAGCATGGAATACTGTTGATTGAGTGATGGATTTACAAGTGCTCATTAGGTACTTGTGGGTCATTAGTAACTTACTGTAAACCGCTGCTTTCACTTGTTGACAGCAGAAATTCAGATGTAAATTCAGATGATCTCCTTGTCTCAACATTGTCTTATTAAAAAAGGTTATTGTACTCTTATAAATGCAGGAGACTGTACCTACCAGAGCTTATAATGTTCTGGTGTAGTGCTGCTCTGTAAAAGCAGGAGGCACCTTTTTTAAAACAAACAAACAAACCAACAACAAAACCCCTCAAAAACTGGTGATGATGGAGTGACAGGAAGAATCTGTGTTTGAACCCTTAAGTTCTGAAGTAAGTGAATGGCCGGTGCTGGGGTTTCTCTTACATTTTTGTTACTGGAATGCTTTGAAGCACCTTTTTTTTTTTTTTTTTTTCTTCTCAGTTTTGGTCGCTGTGGTAAAAGACAAGGAAGTATTTCTCACCACAGTGAGAGACACCACAAAAGATTTCAGTTTCCAGTTTTTCCCACCATTTATGGTGTAGCTTTCTGTTTGAGATGGAGATAGTTTGCTGCATATTAATGGTGTTTGTAATATTAATTTCTAACTATGCTAACATAATTTCTGTCAGTTGTTTATTTTAAACATGCTGCTTCTAGTTATGTGCTTGCTGCTTTTATTTGAGCATATTTATTTGTTTGCCTTTTAGCCTGGCACTATACACATGAGTAACTGAGAATCTATATGTGAGTAGTAATTGTGTGTTGTGATGAATGAGATCCCATCTTAATAAATCTGTCCCCTAGTGTGAGGAGTACCTGGTGGTTTGGGTGCTGAAAGCCAGGGCTCTGCCAGCGTGGTGCTTATTTGTAACTGCAGACCAAAAGGATTTGTCACTTGCATGATTCAGTTTGGCTTTTGCTCTCAGCAGTCAAGTGTATTAAAAAGAGCTGTCTTTTTTATATATATATTGTGCATGTTGATAGCAAATTTTAGAAGACTCAACAAAAGTACTTAACAGAAGTGTCAGTGGCTGTTGCTTGTGGGATGAAGTGTGGAGATATGCTGATCGCATGCAAGACTTGACCCGTACGTCCGCTCCACAAAAGGTGCTATGTATGTATAGAGTGGCAGTTGCTGAGTACTTTCTGTGATACCAGTTGAATCGTGAGTTTAACAAGGCTGTGTAACAGTATGGGTACTTCATCTGACGATGTTTTTCTCATACTTACAGTGTTGGAGAATTCCCACTGTCTTCTTGTATCATCTGTTGGCCTTCAGATGTTAAATGACACTTCTGGGGCCATAAACGTAGGAGTGGGAGGACCTGCCCAACTGACCGTGCAGGAAGCAAGCGCTGAAAGAGCTCGACTGTTGAATGTGCTGGTGTTGGTGCAAGCGTGTCTTGCCCTCCCATCTGCTCTGAGACCCAGCTTCTCTGGGGCAGTAAACCTGTGTTGTAAGGGACCTAAGGCCTTGCTGAATAGCCTGCTGTCTGTTAGAGATTGAGACAGAGTGCTGTGATCAACATTCTACTCTGCTCTCCCTGTCAGTTGCTGGTTTTAACCCTATAATATCCAGAGGCTGTGGGCAGTATTAGAGGTATCTTGCCACAATGATGATTATCATTTTGGTCCTTAAGAGCAAACACTATGTTTGCACAGTAGTTTGGGATACTAGGCAGATGCGCTGACTGGATCATTCGTGTCAGATGGATAAGCAAATACTGAGCTCCGTTCTCCTTTAGAGTTGATTTTTCTGTTGTGTTCAGTTCTTTTCTGTGAAAAGACACATAGTCTATAAGGTAAAGAGCATTTTGTGCCAAATCACAGCGAAAGAAAATGTGCTCTCTGCTGTGCAAATAGGCTTCCCCTGGCCCACTCACTGTCATCTCAGTCTGCAGTGCTTACCAACCTGAGAGGACACCTGGGCCCTCTCGGGCTGGTGCTGTGATTGTAGCATCCTGCTGGAGTATCTGGGAATAGGTCAGGTGTGACGGACAAGGGCCTTTTGACGCAGAACGTGTGGGAGTGGCTGTAATGTGAGATTTGGAATAAGTACCAGAGCTGCTTTTGAAGGCTGCTGTAAAGGACAAGATGTCTTCCTCCTATGCTGTTAGGGTCGTAGTGGAGATGAGTGGGACCATCCAGACTATCTTTTAGTGTTCTGGAGGGCAGCTAAAAAAGTGGTTGGTAGTAGTGTGTACTTGGGTACAGTAATAGGAACTTTAGGGTATGATGTGATGGATGTTAGTTTGCTTTCTTCTGTAGCAAGCCTTGCTTGTGATGGCTCCTAACTCTCTCTCTTGCATTCTGTAGGCACTGGGGAGAGTGGAAAAAGTACGTTCATTAAGCAAATGCGTATAATTCATGGCTCAGGCTACTCTGAAGAGGACAAAAAAGGCTTCACCAAGCTGGTATACCAAAACATCTTCACTGCCATGCAGTCTATGATCAGGGCCATGGAAACCCTAAAGATTCTGTACAAATATGAACAGAACAAGGTAAGTTTATCACAGTTTTTGTGTGTATCTTCAGGCAATTGGAATTCTAGGGTTTGACTCCTAAGTTGCTCTTTGTTTGTATCCTTCTGCATTACAATCTCAAACTCCTTGAACTCTTTCCCATAAATGTTTTGTGCTTAAGGACTGCTTTTGATGATGTTTTGTTGATATCTGACTGCATTTACTGGGTAGTGTTAAGGGATAGAGCAACTTTCTCAGGATGGTTTGTGCACTGGTCTGCCTAGTGAGTGGTGGGAGCAAGGGACTGGGATGCGGTACAGGAGGTGTGTTCTTTTTACTCGTTTCGAGGATTCAGTATTGTTAAATGTGTCAGGTTTTTCTTTGCGTGCATTACTACTCACATTGGAACTTGAAGCTGACAAAATACATGCTGAACCCAAAAAACACCTCTACTGGTGGTTATCGCTGTTGCTGCAATCTGTCAGTTTTTCTGATAGGTACTGATCAAAGGTACAAACCTTTGTTGAAGGGTTTTGGTCTCAGCCACAGAAACGTGATTTGAGCTGAAGTCTGACTTACTGCTTTTGGGTCCAGGAATAAATTTTTTCAGCCAGATCTGGTCTAAATTATTTTAGCTTTTTTGGGGGAGGACAGGGAGGGGGAGGGTGTGCCAGGAAATTAATTTTTTTTAAGTGTGTTTTGCTTCTTAATGCTTAGTACCTTAATATGTTAAAGTGAAATTGTATTTTATCTGTTCCGTCACTCAGTAACTTGGAGCAGATTTTTAATAACTGTTTATAGGGACTGGACAGTGCCTCAGGAGTTCTGAACACCTTTTTTTGATTTTAGAGAGATTCTGCAGTCTCAGTGGTGAGGATAGGCAGGGTGTGAGGAAGCTTACTTTGCCTGTGCTTTACCTGGCGCATGGTGGAGGTGTTGTGATAGGTATAACCTGCCAACCTTTGCTTGTGATAACGTGCGTGGAACTTGGCTTTGTTATTTATTTTTAATGGTATAGGTGGTATAGGCAAAAGGCCTTTCCTGCAGCAAGTGTACAAAATACTTCAGAAGGCAGCTTGGTGCGGAGAATAACCTCACAGATGCCACAGGCTGTTGTAATGACTGTAGTCTTTCTTTTGCCTATAGCTTATAGGGTGGCCGTTTCTGTTTTCTCTCTCAAAAGGGATTGTGACTGAAGTATGCTGAAACAGTGTCTCTGTTGCTGTTCAAAATGTAGTTTACAGGGTTTTTTGGTCAGAAACCTGAGATAGCAACTTGTTATTCAACTGCAGTTTAACCTCCTCAGAAGTTGGGCAGTCTGTCGTTCTTCACAGTGAATGCTCTGCCTTGGAAACCACTGTGTTTCAAAACACCTGGTGATCTAACGATAGGTGAAACCTGCTGCTGTTTCATAGCTTATTCTGTGAAGGAGCATATGATGCTTTGGGGACATTTTGCTGATATCTGCTATGTTTACTCATTGTCCCTCTGGTCTTAGCAACCTGATCCACAGCCAGCATGCGGATTCTTGGTCATAATGTAAGGATTTAGTTCATCTGAGCATTTTCCATTTTCTGCCTGCCTGTGACCAGTACCCTGTGCTCCTGACCACCCCACCTGCCCTTTTTTTTTTTTTTTTTTTTTTTTTTTTTTTTGTTTTTTTTTATTTTTTTTTTTTCAATCTCCAGGCCAATGCAGTGCTGATCCGGGAAGTGGATGTAGAAAAGGTCATGACATTTGAGCAGCCATATGTAAGTGCAATTAAAACATTGTGGAACGACCCTGGAATACAGGAGTGTTATGACAGGAGAAGAGAATATCAGCTTTCCGACTCAGCTAAATAGTAAGTGTATAGTCATTGGCATGCACTGGTAGGTGGTAGTGATGGTCTAACAAATAATACCTGTCCAATTTTTTTATTGAAGTCTAGAGTTTGTTTCAAAGGGCAGGAGCAGGGCTGTACATTTCACTACATAGTTTGTTTAAAGTACCTTTTATCTTTTTCATTGAGGCAGATCAGTCTTGCTAGCGTTTTACACAAGCTGCACAGTCTCCGCTGGCTATGTGTAATGGGATAAAAAGCATAGGTATATGAGAAAGGCACTTTGCCCCTATCAGCTAGAAGTATCCTTAGGAAGAGATAAGATGAAGGAGCAGTGGGAGCAGGTAGCTGACAACTTATTTGAATCTGGCTGCAGAAAGGCAACGAGCTTTGCTGGAGGTGGAAGCAGCTATGTTTATTTGGGGATAGATTTAGATCTGGAAATTCCTTGCCATTTGCTACTTTTCATGAGAGTATGAGGCCTTGTGGTGGGTGCTAAAGAGTTGTTCGCACATCTGCTTCTGGATATACCTGAGGCTAGAGTCTCTACCTTATGCCATCTGGGTTGGTCCCTGCTCTTAGGCAGCAGCAGTGTTGCTCTTTCTCTTCAGGTTTGTCCTTTGGCCTACAGGTGTACATGGATATGTAACTTAATGGATTTATTATTAATAAAATCTAAGTCAGGTGACATAGGGTTGTTTATAAATCGAAGACCTCAGATGAGACTTAAGTCTGAAACATAAGGATCCACTGTACTTAAACTTTCTCAGTAGTAAAGATTGTCTTCGACGCTCCTGTACAAGAACGCTGATAAAGTTGTCCTCAATATATCTGTTTACCTTCCAAAGGGGATGGCTGGTGAATTACTGTTTTCCCAGAGATGTATTCTGTTATTTTTCCACATCATATTTTAAATGGTTCAGGTGACTTCTGACTTTCTCGTTAC